AGCACCTTTCCACATCCTTGTTTGCTTGGCTAACTGCTAATTACTTCTTCAGGTGCAGCTCAAGCTGCATCTCCAGAAATGATTCCCTGTTCAGGAGCAGTTGGGCAGGCCAACCTGTGTCCCTCTACCCCCATGCTCATTTCCAGCCCCGTGCTGACAGTCAGTAGGTCCGTCCGGGTGGGTCTAGCCCGGACGGACCATACCCTCTCGGGGAGCAGAGGCTGCAGTGCGCTTACTGGCCTTTGTATCCCAGGCACTACGCACTGCCTGGCACAGAGGAGGCCCCGGGTCAGCCCTGCTTGCTGAGCTGGCAAGATGAAATTCAAACCTCTTAGCATTGTACACAGTACACGGCCCTTTTCCATGTACTTTTCCTGGGGTTTTTTTGTTTGTTTTTCTTGCCTTGGGCATCTGGGAAGGTCTAAGTACTCCTTTGTGGGAAGCAGAGAACGGAAAGAGCGTGTTATTGGATGGATCCTTTATTCTCATATATGAAGAAGCCTGGCAGGCTGGGTTTCTGGGGTGGAAGGAGGCCTTCACCCTTGTGAGCAGGAGGTGAGTCCCAATCACATTCTCATGTGGGGGGAAGGCCAGCCCCCCACAACTAATCTCGGGTTCGATAGGTGCAATTGTACGGTTGAGATATATAAAGATTATAGTAAAGTTATAGAGAGCATGAGAGATGGAAGAGATTGAAATCATGGAGTCGGACACATTTCTTGGTAGCATGCTCACCTCCTGGATGGCCATGATCTTCCCAGTCAGGTCCGAGCACAGCGTGGGCCGGGGTGAGGTCTGGAGGTGAGGTGGGGTGGAGACGGCCGACAGCCGGAGCCACCCTTCCTGTTTTGACGTCTTCATCTCTTGCCACCGCTCGCCCCTCTGGGCATGCACCAGTCCAGTCCCAGAGGCTACTGGTCCTTCCCTGAAGGTTGTCTTTGCCTTTCAATGCACTGTTTCCCCTCTCTTGCTTGCCTTCCCTTTCAGTAACTTTTCCCAAGCGAGCAAACCGCCCAGCCTTCCCTCCCTCTCCTCTGGCAGCTTTCGCTTCAGGCCAGTGGCATCTTCTGATTCCAGGATTGTAGCCTTTTTTCCCTTCTTTCTCTCATCCCATTAGACTTGAACTTCTTAGGGGCAAGTGACCACAGCCTCGTTCATCATTTTGTAAGACTGACATCCCATTAGCTTCTTTATTGGCTGTCAAGCCGCCCTTCACAGTCTGTTTTCTAAACTGTCTCCATTCTGGTCTCTTCTCCTGCCACCACCTGTGCACCCTAAACTGGAGACATTCTCAGCAGCCTGTGGATTCCTAGGCGTGTGCTGACCACGCCATTCTCTGTGCTGCTCTCGTTTACGAGATGCGTCTGAGGGGAGGGCCTCTCCTCTGTTCCTCGGTTTAACGTGTCCCTTTAAGCAAGTTTTTAAATGTATGATTTCCGGTATAGGTCTGCACATGTGTGCATACACAAACACACACACAGACTAATTAACCTGCATGTTCCCCCATTCAGGGTAACCAATAAAACATGATATAAATATATATCCTGTGCCTGCCTCCCTGATTCTATTTTCTTCTCTCCTCTCTCAGAAAATGTAATGGCATTTATCTATTTCAGGTAGTATTTATCTATTTCAGATATATTATAATTGATTCCTTTGTATCTATTATCTCTGAGAGATAGAGCTTTGAACTCACACTAGTTAGATCATCGGATTCACATTCTTCTGCAACATTCATGCTCGGTGTCTTGCTCACCATTATTTCTGAGATTGGTCTCTATTGATACATAAAGCGTGTGATCATTTCAAATTGCTATATTGTTCTCTTCGTTGTGTGAATATTTGAGTTTGTGAACCTTGATCGATACCTGTCCTATTGAGTATATTTAGATTGTTTTCAATTTTTCATTGTAAACTCATAAATAATTAACATAAGGGAAATCTAGTCTTTTCTAATTTTGCAAAATATTCTGGCAGCTCTGTTGTAACTGAGGGTTCAGTAAGCACACTTAAGATCAAATTCTCTCGTTTTAAAAATCAGATTGAACTCTGTATGCACAAGCATCATGTGTCGCTCGCTTGCTCTAAGACTAAGCTATGGCGACTGTTTTGTGTGCGGTGTTTTGGAGAAGTTACCTCCCTTAGTCAGCAATTTGTAACTTAGATCTCATATGAATTTAGATCATTTTGTCCTTAATGCTAAAGGAAAGTCAAAATGAGAAAGTTCAAAGCAAGACAAAATTCTGAAAGCTCTCCTCGGGTCTGAGGGTGAAGACAGTTAAACGGCGGAAGACTGAAGGCTCGGAGTGTGAGTTCTGTGTTTCTGTTTCATGGTGGTCAGAAAAGAGAAAAAGGAGCTCAGACCATTGATTCAGACAAGAACTGCCCCAAAGATGGCAGAGGAGAGAATCTGCAGAGTGTTGGGTGGACCGTTTCAACATCGTGTGCCTTCAGTAGTGCAAGGTTCACTGAGTCCACCCACAATGCATTTCTAATGCTGTTCCTTCCTTGTTTGGTCTTCTAACCAGGAGTCCGGATTATTAGCACTCACTTGCCAAATAAATAAACTAGCCCTTTTTGCTTTGGTTTCTAAGACGTTTAATAATTTTCTCAAATTAATAGATTGTCTCCTTTCTTCCTCAGTGAGGGTAGAAACCTAAAACACTGAGAAAGAGAGGCCTCATGCTGTAGCTTCTTAAATTACACATGAATCAGCCTAATATTAATGTATGATAGAGTGTGATAAGCTAAGTATACGTGTGTTGTAAACTAAGACCATGACTCAAAAAAGAAAACAAGGAGATAAAATCAGAAAGTCGGTGTAAGTCATAAACATCAACACTCACCACCATTGAGTCAGTGCAGACTCACCGAGAGCCCGTAGCACAGGCCAGAACTGCCCTGTGAGTGTCCAGGACTGTAACTCTTTACAGGATAGACAGCCCCATCTCTCCCTCAGAACAGCGGGTGGTTTTGAACTGCTGACCTTGTGGTTTAGCAGCCCAACCCACAACCACTGTGCCATCAGGGCTAGAGTGTCTGTACCTAGCTAGAGCTATCTCTCTGTATCTATATCTACAAAGAGCTAGAGAGCACTCGTTTAGGAGGAAGGCCATTGTAACCCAGAATAAGGACTCTACTCGATATACTCTAACAAAGCTCAACGAACAGACTTCACAAAGATAAAAACTTATCTACAAGTAAATTAACTATATGCCAGAACATTTCCATTTCTACTGATATTCCCCATCTGCTTCCTCATTATGTTCATGTTTTTCTTTAAATTTTTCAACATTTTAAAATAGCTGTTAATTCCCACATCTCCAAGTTCGCTGTCTACAGACTGACCTCTTTTCCTCCTTGTCGGAGTCTTTCTCTTCCTGCTGTGTCACACGTCCAGTCGTGTTTCCTGTTTGTTTGGGATGTCAGATACCACATGGTCGAGTGTTGGGACTTTGTTGTCTTCAGCCATTGTTCAGTTTTGTTCTAGCAGAGAGCTAATTTACATGTTGATCCATGTCATCTCTTGGAGATTGTTCCTTTAGCTCTGTTGGGGTGCACATGGCGTCCTGACTCTGAATTAGAATGGCCTGACTCCCAAACCGTGGCCTCGTGTTGAGTGAGTTTTATCCTCCCCCTGGCTGAGTGGAGCCCCGGCATCTTGTGGCCTTTTATGACCTCCAACATCTCTGTTCGGCTCACAGAGCCTAGATAGTTGTCCATTGCTGTCTCTTGAAGGGCAGCAGCATGGCTCTCCACAGCACAGCTTATTCAAGAAGATGCTTGTGCACATTTCTAGTGCTCCTCTCTTGCCAGTCTACCCTCTAGGGCTCCCCGCCCCCCAGCGTCGAGCTGCCAGAGCATCTCCAACTTCCATGTCTGCCCCCTCAATGTTGCACGTGTCCGGTGCACACACTTGGTCCTCACCTTTGAGCACCACGGTTTAAGCGTCCTCCTAGGTGGACTCTCCATGGTGGGCCTGGGGTGGGGCGTTTTCTTTTCTCTTTGGCGGTTCTGCGTTTCAGAGGTTGGACCACATAAGGAAAGCAGGTGTGTGGGGGTATCTGTCCTAATTTTATTATATATGTAATGTGTGTGTCCTAATTTTTAATTGTCCACACCATCAAGGTTAGTCTGATACCAGTTATTCCATTATGGCCAGAGGCAGAAGTCTTAAAAGAGCATATGTTTAAAACGGTTCTTTTTGAGAAATATGTAAAGAAAAGCCAAAATACAGAATTACAAACTCTGTGTTGTACTAGAGACATGATCTAAGCCAACAAACTTGTTTGAAACTGAGAAAAATTAAATAAAACTAACTCAAGTCACTTGTAGTAACAGAGTACTCTGGGAGTTAGTCATAAATCCGGTCCATGTTGTGGGTGTTCTAAGTCTGCCCACTCTGTTTCCCATTGTGGTCATCTTGAAAATGTCACCCATTTTCACCGTAATTTTAAACTGTCAAAACTTTGTGTGTGGGTGTGAAGGGAGACAACGGACAGTGTAAGATACGAAATAATAATAGCAATATAGAATTGATCAAGAATTCAGGAGGGTGGGAGGACGGGAGAAAGGGGAAAAATGAGGAGCTGATACCAAGGGCTCAAGTAGAAAATGTTTTGGAAATGATGATGGCAACATATGTACAAATATGCTTGATAAAACTGATGTATGGAATGTTATAAGAGCCCCCAATAAAATCATTTTTTAAAAACTATCATATATTTTGTACCAAAAAAATTACTAAATTGTTTAAAAACACACACACTTTTTCCCTTTTCTTAAAGAACCCGTATAATTTCAGCATACGCATCACTTCGCCTTTTGTCACACAGCAGCACTGCTCTGGTTAACACAAGCAGTGAAGGAAGGATGGTGCTCACTTCCCAGGGTATTCAGGAAGAATTGACGTGCTGTGGGCATGATACAATGCCACCCCAAAAGCTAGAAGACGTTTGGTTCTTTTAACATGACCGGGTGTTTTGTTTGTTTGTTTTCAGTTTGTTTTCTCTGCTGTCTAAGAAACACAACAAAGTTTTGGAACAAGCCACACAGTCGCTGAGAGGCTCACTGAGTTCCAGTGATGTCCCGCTCCCAGATTATGTAAGTAGTCCCCTCCCTTGGTGAAGCTCGTAGCTAATCACACCCCTCTCTGAAAACAGGGCTGGTACCTGGACGCCGTCTCGCTGCCGTCGAGCTGATAGCAGCCACTCAGACAGGGCACAACTGCCCCTGGGGGTTTCCGAGAATATAACTCTCAGTTGTTGAAAGCTCGCCTCTCTCCTTGGGAGCAGCTAGCTCCGACCTTGCTGTTAGCCACCCAACACGTACCCATCACACCAGTCGGGTCCCTCTGAAACCTTGAAGGTTCAACTTTCACTGGTCAAAGTGAGAGGAAAACCTTAAATGTGCTTTAACAATCTGTGAAGGAAAATCAACCCCAGGTCTTCTCCTGGTCAGGAAATTCACCCCAACCAGTTCGGCCAAAGAAAGGGAAGGAGGGGCTGTGTGGGGGGCTGCAGAGGGTTCTCCCCGAGCTCCAGGAGATCCTTGCACCTGGGTTTCACCGAGAACCACACCTAAACCGAAAATGGACTGGGTTTCAGAACAGCCTTGCCTTTCCGAGGCTGTTTCGTTTCTGGTCTCTGCTGCTGTGTTCCACGGCTGCCTTCTCCCGGCCAGGGTTCTCGTGTCCCTTCAGTTCCCTGCGACCTAAAAACGGTAACCCCAGCCCTCCCCCACCCCACAATGTGGTCTTATGTGTTCAGTGCCCTGAGCTAAGTAAGCCATTCATTCTTCTGGAAGTTCTGTGGCTCTCACTTGCTAGGAAAGAGGGTCAGTGTGCCACACTGTAGTGTGGTCAGCCCTGAGCACAGGACCCCACCAGTGTCAGATGGCCTTTGTCTGACCCTCTTTAAAGGTGAGGAGCTTCCCAGCCCCCACCCCATCTCAGAGGATGCTGATGGAGTGGAGTGGGACAGAGGGAGCACACGACATGTCAGTAGGCTTTCCCCTAGCTTCTTATGTTTGGGAGATGACCAAGCTGAAAAGAGTCGAAAGGCAAGCTCATCCTCGCTGACAGAAGAAACTAGCTCATCCAGCTCTAAGAAGGACGTGGCTGCAACCACCAGACCGCACTTGGTGGCCTGGGCTGATCCTAGAAGCTTTGCTAGGGAGCTTTGAACACCGGGTGTAAAGCGACAAGGCCGCACCAGACAGCTGGGGCCTTGTTTTGCTGGCTTCCTGTGGTTCGCTTCTTTTCTGAATGGCTGGCTGATACGGACTGGGTATCAGGCCCTGGTAAACAAAGAGAGCTGTGTGCAGCCACAACCTGGCCGGTGCTGGTTTTCTTCCCTTTTATGTAGAGCTGCGGTTCTGAACCTGTGGGTCGCGACCCCTTTGGGGGCCGAACGACCCTTTCACAGGGGCCACCCGATTCATAACAGTAGCAAAATGACAGTTATGAGGTAGCAACGAAAATAATGTTTTGGTTGGGGGTCACCACCACATGAGGACCTGAACTAAGGGTCATGGCATGAGGAAGGTTGAGAACCACTGATGTCGAGACAGAGGGAGCATGCGTGGGTGGATGTGGGGTCTGTGCCCTATCATCTCCTCCAGGCATTAAGTTTATGGCTCCAAAGAGTTTCTCAAAGAACATAATAAGGCATCTTTTATCATTTTCCTGCTAGTTAAATTTTGAGACTGTCTAAAAAGTAGCACAGTGGCTCGCTCCACTCTGTACTTGCCATGCCTTATTCTAATAAAACGCTGCTTTCTAATTGCCCGGGAACCTTCAGGGGGGCATCTGGTGGCAGTGGGAATCACGTCTAGGAACTTGACTGCCATGTTGGCTGTATCCCGTTGGCATTCGATGTTTGTCATTCGCTCCACAAGAATGCATTAGCTCCATGGGGCCGGGTGTGCCCTGGCAGCATTCTTCTTGCCGAGCAGACGTCAAATTGACATTTCCTGGAGAAAGCGGTTCGTACGCCATCGTATTTGACAGCCCTGGAGTGTTCAGTGAGAGGACAGTGCCTGAGGGTGAATTCAGATCAAGCATGCCAATTCTACTCTTGAACTTGCCCATTTTTAGAGTTTCTGGTTGGCTCTTTTCTTCTTGCATACCATTTCCACTAAGTACCAATGAACGTCTTAGAGCATCTGCTTCTTAGAGAGACTGGAGAAGTTCTGTTTGGGGTCTGCCTTCCTGGTCCTTATTTTAGCGTTGGTGTGCACGCAGCTCAGCAGGTCACCGCGCTTCCAATGGTGGGTTGAGGGCCGTGAACTCGCTGCTTTTCCTCTCGGTGGATGGAAGAAGGCGGCTCGGCCCGAGTCCGTCGTCGAGATAGGATAGCCGTGATCATTCCTGCCGCCCGGGCCTGGAAAGCCATCGAAAGGAAACTAGAAGTTAGCTCTGTGGGATATTCTTCGTTCACCAAGACTTGGTGTTTTGTTAGCCATTCCCATTGCTCAAGAGTGGTTTGCACCTTGGAAACTGTGTTCTTACTGTCCTCATTTACATTGGCCGCTAACTGAGAAATTAAAATATGTGCCTTCTTTTTTCCCTCCCTAGAAATTTTACTTGTTAGGTCTCTTTGCCAGCAACCACACACACACAAAAAAAACACAACTGTTTCCTGTACTACTGCTTTAGAGCACTTGTTTGTCAAAGATGGAAGGAGTCTGGACACAGCAGTGGATTCCCAGACTCCTAGTTACTCCAGCAGCACTGAATGGACTCTATTAGCAGGAGTCTGAATAAGTGCTTCAACATTCAGATCTGTTTTCCTTCTCACTGTAGTACATAGAGTACTTTCAGTCTATCGGGACGTTTCCTGAGTTTATTAAGAAAATGTTTATCCTCATTATACTGTATAATTCACAAGTCAGTTGAGTAACGACATAGAAAGCAAATAACAAGTTATAAAAACATTAATATTAGTGCTGCAGTACAACCCTGACTCTCAAGGGAAACCTGAAACCTTCGCTCAGGTTCTAGATAATGAGGAGAGGTGGCCTCCGCTGCTCCCGGGAAAGTAAAACAGAAATGGGAAAGTAGCACTCGCATCCCATCGAGGGGCAGCGACCCGCCTCGGAGCCTGTCTGCCGCTGCGAGGGTGAGAAAGGTGTGTGGAGAAGCAGGCAAAGTGAATCGGCAACTTGGCATTGCTCTATGCCTTTATATCTGGATTTAAGAAATCTACTGCAAATCAAAGGCACAGGAGAGAGTCATCCAGGAGAATCTCCCACCATGATCGGCGCTGATGAAGATTGTCACCATGCTCTGTTTCCCGGAGCTCCAACAAGCATCTTGGCAACTTTTTCAGATGAGAAGAATCTTGGCTTTTATTCTCGGTACAAGCAAGAGTGTTTCACCTTGCTCTGTAGACCTTGGCCTCCGCAGTCTGAATCCACCCCCTCAGTGCAAAGCCAGAAGATGTCAGAGGAATGCTGAGCCACAAGGGAGTAACGGCCTGGAGCATGCACCAGTGATTTGCCAAGCGGCGAGAATGCTTCCAGTCTGTACATGCGCATATCTGTGAGGGTCTCCACATCTGGCTGAGAGGGCTGTGAGGGCATTGTGCTTGGTCAAGGAGAGGAGGGTCCATGAGGAGGACGAGGGAAGACCTCGACAGAATGGATTGATACAGTGACTGCAATAATGAGCTCGAGGAGAGTGGCCGTTGTCAGGGTGGTGTGATCAGTGTTCTGCTCCTTTGCACAGAGGAAGGGAGGCTCGCTGTGAGTCAGAACTGACTCAGCCCCTAGCGGCAGCAGCGTTTTCTTTGAGAGCCTCGCCCGTTAGCATCCACATTTCTAGCAACATTCTGCAATTTTTCTCGCAGCTCTGAGCCCTTGAATAGCCATCATTCTCCAAAGAGTCTTCATGGGGACTTCAGTTTTGACTATTTCAAAAACCCACTGCAGCGTTGGTAGTTACATAATCTGATGTCAATCTGAGAAGATTATGAGTGAAGGGGTGGAGTCTGGCCTGTCAATCAAGATATAGCCTCTGTGTGGACATGGCCTTCTGAGAATTCTAGGAATTCCTGTATTTCCTCCTTGGAGGCGGGAAACACCTCTCTCTCTCTCTGCTCACTCCCCTTGGAGACACTCTACTGACAAGACACATGGTGCTACTCCCTGGGAGCTGGAGAAGCCACATGGACCTACCCTGGTGCAACCAGACCTCTGGAGCCACAGAAGCCACATAGAGACCCCTGCCAGCACTGAGAGGCTTACAACGCCACTGGATCCACAAGACTTCCCAGCCACTGGCCTGTGATCTTCCTGGATTCGGCCTCATTGCATGTGTTGTGTGAGTCTGAAGAGGACTTTATAGATTGGCATCAGACACATGGGCTAATATTGGACTTATGGACTTGATCTGGACTGGGCTGGGACGTTTTCTCAATATTCAATTGCTCTTCTCTGTAACGCTCTTTCTTATACACATGTGTATCCTTGAATTTGTTTCTCTAGTCTACCCAGACTAACGCAGCCACCAAGTCAATTCCAACTGATAGTGACCTTCCAAGACTGAGGACAATTGCTCCAGAGGATTTTTGAGAGTCTGCGTCTTCCAGGGGAGCCAGCCACTCTGTCTTTGTGCAGAGGAGTGGCTCAGGGTGTGAAGCCCCGGCCTTGCCATCCACAGCCCACGCTGAACCCACGGCACAGCCAGGCTCCTTGTGCGGTTCTATTCTGTTGCCATCAATTCGATTCTGACGCACAGTGGCCCTACTTAGGGTTTCCGAGACTGCCAGTCTTTGTGGGAGGAGACACTCATCTTTCTTGTGAAGAACAGCTGGTGGTTGTGAACTGCTGACCTTGTGGTTATAAGGAAAACACTTAGCCAACATCAGAAAAATAAAAATCTCACTGCCGTCAAGTTACTTCTGCCTCACAGGGAGCCTATCGGCAAAGTAGAAATGCCCCCTGTGTGTTTCCCAGGCTGCGAATCTTTACAGGAGCAGAGAGCCTCAACTTTCTCCTGAGAAGCAGCTGGTGAGTTCAAACTGCTGAACTTGTAGTTAGCTTTCCAGTTCATAACCCGCTATGCCACCAGGACACCCCTTCCTTAACCACAGAGGCCCCTT